TGCTGCTTGGTTTGAGAAAATGTCTTATGTAAACGACGAGCCAGAGCCCGAAAGGCCTGCCAAAAGGCCTCATGTTCAAGCCTTTGATGATAAAATTTAGGAGAGGTTAGCTTGGGGGAAGAAGGAAAAGGAATATAAGGCCATCATCCATGGTCTATGAGAAGAGTTGAGAAATGTCACCTTCAACAATGATTTGCAGGCACAAGAGGCCGAAGGTGAAAGGAGAAGATTGGTGCGAGAAAATGAAGCCCTCAGAGCTCAGGTTAGACAGTTGAAAATTGAAGCAGAGAACCCAGGCCGAAGAGGAAAGATGAAAGGCTCATTTATAACCTTACTCAAAAGGTACGTGACTATGAAGATGACCTGCAAAAAGCTGAGTTTGAACTAGCAAAAGCACGGGAGAGGTTGGCTAAAAGCGCCAAAGGGCGTGCAACTTTCGTTCAACAGATGAAAGAAAGATATGAAAAAGGGGTCACAGGTTGGGAAAAGGCAATAGGCAACCTTGTGGGTGAAATGGCTTAGCAAGCCAAAAATTTTAAGACTGAAAGAGCACATTGTTACGCCTTAATGGCACGGCTAGAAAGAGACTTGCAACAACTCCAAGAGCAGAACCAGGTAGCCGAATGAACTTTGGAACCAGAACTGAACAAATTGGGCATTTGTTGCAAGAGAAGGGCGTCATAAGAGAGCGAGTCAAAAGGGTCGCCAACTATATCGCAATGAAGTGCAGTAGCTGTGAGGATATGACTAGATCTATGTTCTTCGCTACTGTGATGATTTTTGTTCGCCGGGTAATGGAAGATATCTACCTCCAGGGGATTTAGCGAGTCAGCCCACAGAAAGGCCGTATGATGCCCCACGGGTCCCGGGGGAGATTGAGGCATTGATGTATTCATGATTTCTTGAGTCTATATTTTCTTTCTGTTAAAGTCTGCCGGTTGTTTTGGAGTCTGTATTTCTTTTATCTGAGTATGTGGGTTATTTGTTTTTTGAGTCTGTATATCGTCTTTCATCAGAGTCTGTTAGTTTCTGTTTAGGTTTATTTCTGAGTCTTATTATGAAAATTTGAAAATTCCAAAAATGTTTTATATCTTTATCTCCAGAACTACGCTCGGTCTGATTCATGCGGGGTCATGATACGTAGGTAATCTCCATAGGATTCGACCGTAACCAAATGATAAAGAGAGAAAGAAAACAAGAGGAAAAACAAGAGAGTAAAGGAAAAAAAAGAAAAAAGAAAAGAGAGAGAGCGGAAAAACAAGAAAGAAAAGAGAGAAAATAAAAAATCAAGAGAGAATAAAAACAAAGAGAGAATGAAAGGAAGGAAAAGAAAAAGAAAGAAAAGGGGGAAGTTTGCAATCGAAAGTAAGAAAAGGACGGGATGATGCATGCAACCGATCAAATACATAATAGAGACGGTTAACTGTTAGGTGCATTCATTCCCGATGTGCGGTCGCCAATCTGTTAAAGCCTAATCGTTAACAAGGTTGTTGTTGATGTATCGAGTCCAGGCAGGTGGTTAGTTGATTGGCATTCTGGTAACTCACTCATATAACACCCGATCGAAAGACAGGCTGAATATGGCCAACCAGGAACTGGAAACAAGTATTGTCGACCCATCGAAAGAAGTGGAAGAATTGGACGTTAATGCAATGAGGGAAGAAATGTATAAGATAAAGCAACAGATGGCTTAAATGTACCAAGCCTGGGCGAAGGGGCATCCACCACCGGTTTATCCCACCAACCCTGCTTATATCCCACCATCAGCCCAACCTCCGGAGC